CTTGGCTGGGCATGTATGAAGGCACTTCAAAAAGTTTGTGGAAAAAGAATTAAAAGACAATACAAATCTTTCCATGAACTTTTTAAAAGTACCCTCCTATGGCTGGACCTCACTTAATATTAAAAAGATCCTGGGAGCCAAATAACATTAGGCCAGTTTTACTCATGAAAAAGGTTGCATTCAGCTAAGAAGCAGTGGCGCCAGGATTTGAACCCAGATATCTCTGATGCCTTCTCTAGAGCATATGCTCTCAGTATCCCACTTTAGTGCTCCTGTTCAGATTTGGTCATGTGGGTTTTATGGGGCTGGTAGAACAAGAAAGCAGATATTCAGGAGCAGTAACTTTGGGTGTGAAGCTCTAGAGACAGCTGGGCTTGTGCTGCAGATTTGGAAGTCACTGGTATACAAATGAAAGCCTTGGAAATGGTGGGGTGAGTGCCTAAAGATGGCATGTGGAGCAAGGAGAGAAGAGGGCGCTTATAACAGAACTTCAGGAACTTCAGCATTGAAGGAGCTGGGGCAAAAGCAGAGAGGCCTGAAAGTGGCACTCAGAAATGGCCAGAGAAGTGAGAAGATGCCATCAAGGGAAGGAATGGATGTATATATCCCTAGTGCTCACGATTGGGAGTGAAATTTAACTGTGATGCGTTTACAAAAGGAATGCCATGTCTTGTTCAACTGACAAATGAGTTGACTGATGTGTGAAGAGATATAAGTGAAGCAGTGTTATATGGATAAAAGTAGACCAGCAAGATCATACATTTGGTGTGACTTTTTAAAAATTGTAATGTTGTCATGACCAATATCAGTAGTAGTCAGATTTTTAGAGATAACTGGTAAACTAAGGGGCCATAAGGTGTTTATAAAATTAATTTTTAGGTCTAGTCAGTTAGCTCAGTTGGTTAGTGCACAGCCTTGTTCAAGGGTTCGGATCCCTGTACCAGCCAGCTGTCCAAAAACCAAAACAATTATTTTTAAAACTATGTTAGGGCCGGCCCGGTGGCGCACTGCTATAGTGCGCTGCTTGGGAAGCGCTGCGGCGCTCCCGCCGAGGGTTCGGATCCCACATACAGACCGGTTCCCGCTCATGGCTGAGTGAGGCGCGGGAGCAACACCGAGGGTTGCGATCCCGTTGCTGCTCCCCGGTCCAGTAGGGGGGCGACACTGAGGGTTGCGATCCGTTGCCGGACACAGAAAAAGACAAAAAATAAATAAATAAATAAATAAAAAATAAAAATAAAACTATGTTAACTCTCTATTTCCACCGTCTGGCAATGTGAGACCCCTGGGTCACTGTTGACACCACCAAGGCCTTCACTAAATGTATTCCCTGGACTTTGGACTTCCTAGCCTCCAAAACTGTAAGCAATAAATTTCATTTTCTTTATAAATTAACAAAAAAACCCAAAAACAACTGTGTTAAAAAACTAAAGGAGGGCCGGCCCGGTGGCGCACTGGATAGTGCGCCGCTTGGGAAGCGCGGCGGCGCTCCCGTCCGAGGGTTCGGATCCCACATACAGACCGGCTCCCGCTCACTGGCTGAGCGAGGCGCGGGAGCAACACCGAGGCTTGCGATCCCGTTGCCGGTCCCCGGTCCGGTACGGGGGCAACACTGAGGGTTGCGATCCGTTGCCGGACACGGAAAAAAGACAAAAGATAGAAAAAAAAAAAAAAAAAAAAAAAAAAAAAAAAAAAAAAAAAAAAAAACTGAAGGAAATATGTAGAAGTTAAAAATGTTAATATTATTAGGGATTTTTCCCTCTTAATGGTAAATTTGTCTTGGATGAGAAGTTAGAAGAGTGTACATAGAACAAATTCAGGACATGTTGTTGTAGTTCCAAATGAGGATAATTTTTCATTTGGGTTAAACATAGCTCAGAGGTTCGCAGCTCTGGCTGCACATTAGGATCAGCTGAGGAGCTTTAAAAGAAAATGATGTTTACCTCATACCCATAGGATGGCTACTATCAGAAACTATCTGAAAATAACAAGTGTTGGTGAGGATGTGGAAAAATTGAAAACACTTGTGCACTGTTGGTGGGAATGTGAAATGGTGCAGCCACTGTGGAAAATAGTATTGTGGTTCCTCAAAAAATTAAAAATCAGATTACCATATGATCCAGGAATTCCACTTCTGGGTATATACCCAAAAGAACTGAAATCAGGGTCTCAAGATATTTGTACACACACGTTCATAGCCGCATTACTTACAATAGCTAAAACATGGAAACAACCTAAGCATTCATTGTCAGAAGAATGGATAAGCAAAATATTGGATGTACATACATAGGAATATTATTTAGCCTTAAAAATAAAGGGAATTCAGGCTGACCAGTTAGCTCAGTTGGTTAGAATGCAGTTTTGTAACACCAAGGTCAAGGATTCAGTTCCCTGTACTGTCCACTCACCAAAAAAGAAGGCAATTCTGACATATGCTACAAGGTTCATGTAGGTAGGACTTGAGGACATCATGCTAACTGAAATAAGCCAGTCACAAAAGCACAAATACTGTTTGATTCCACTTATATAAGCTATGTAGAGTAGTCAAGTATATACAGACAGAAAGTAGAATAGAGATTGCCAGGGGCTGGGGGGTGGGGTAAATGGGGAGGTATTATTTAAAGGGTATAGAGTTTCTGTTTTGCAAGGTGAAAAGAGTTCTGGAGATGGATGGTGATGATGGTTGCACAACAGTATGAATGTATTTAATACCACTGAAGTATACACTTAAAAATAGTTAAGATGGGCTGAGCCTGTGGCACACTCGGGAGAGTGCAGCGCTGGGAGTGCAGCGGCGCTCCCGCCGTGGGTTTGGATCCTATGTAGGGATGACCAGTGCGCTCACTGGCTGAGCGCGGTGCGGCTGGTCTCAAAAAGGACCAAAAAAACAAAAAAAACAAAAACAAAAAAAAATAGTTAATGGGCCGGCCCGGTGGCGCACTGGATAGTGCGCCACTTGGGAAGCGCGGCGGCGCTCCCGCCCGAGGGTTCGGATCCCACATACAGACCGGTTCCCGCTCACTGGCTGAGCGAGGCACGGGAGCAACACTGAGGGTTGCGGTCCCGTTGCCGGTCCCCGGCCCGGTACCGGGGCAACACTGAGGGTTGCGATCCGTTGCCGGACACGGAAAAAGACAAAAGACAAAAAAAAAAAAAAAAAAAAAAGTT